TCTATTCTATTCTATTCTATTCTATTCTATTCTATTCTATTCTATTCCATTCCATTCCATTCCATTTTATTCCTAATTCTAATTCTAATTCTAATTCCAATCCCATCCCATCCTTAATCCATTCTACTATTATTCTAGTTCTAATTCTATTCTCATTTTCCGACGTGCTGTTTATCGGATTGAAAAATAAGCCACTGCAAGGCAGAAAAATCCTGAATAAATCCACAGTCAACACTGTTGCTGCCACAGGGACCTAGCTCCTGGGATCTGCGTCTCGTAAACAACAACCTGGTCTCTGATGAACTGAATTTTGCAAAAAGGAATTCCCTTAATGGCAACGGTGTCTTGAATTTATTTACAGCCCACAATTTAACCTTTTTTTCTGATGTCCACCTTGGCAACTTTAAGACTTGTGGACTTCAAGTCCCAGAATTCCTCAGCCAACAAATTCTGGGAGTTGAAGTTCACAAGCAGTAGTGGGATTCCAATAATTTAACCACCAGTTCACTGCCTTAATAATTTCTTCCAACCACCATTTCACTAAATTGCTCAGAAACTTCACAACCAGTTCTTGTGAACCGGTGCGAACTGGCTGAATCACATCACTGTCCACAAGTCTTAAATTTGCTAAGGTTGGAGACCCCTGATCTCATCCATCCATTCCTATGAACGGAGACCGTCATTACAGGTAGGCATACACGAATGAAGTTCGCTGGCTGCATGTGCAGAGGGGTGTGTGCCTTGACTTACAACCATAGTGGGCGCCCCCGAAGTTACCTCACTTTAGTGAAACGCCGGTCAAATGGAGATTTGGCCCTGTTTTGCGGCTTCTCCTGGAGAATCGTGCCAATCGTTAAGTTGACGACAACGGTTGGTTCGTCAGGAAGGGTCGCAAAAAAGCGGATCGGGGGACACCCGCGCCTGGGACATCACGACCGTCGTAACTATGAAACCAGATGCCCACCATCTGAATTTGGATCAGGGGACTGTGTGGGTGTCACGACAGTCGTAAGTGTGAAAAATGGCCGTTAAGTGACTTTTTCCCCAGTGCCATTATCACTTTGAATGGTCACTCAACAAACTATCGTAAGTCGAGGACTAGCTGTACTTGAGGATTTGTTCACTATGATGTCGGACTGAGCTTTGTTCATTTTTTTAAAACTCATCATCTAATTCGTTCCTGGCCAGCAGCTGTTCCTACTGGGAAGAAATAAAATAGCTTCCGTACCTGACGTCAGACAACAAATCGAGATTAAAACATTTCCTTTTGGAAGGGAAGGTTATAAATGTCTGAATTATCAGATGTTAAATTGACAAACCGGGTGAAACCCCAACGGAAAACGTGCAATCCAAGACAGAAGCCCTGTTTAGTGTTATGTTTCTTCTCCATCCAGAGCACCTCCAAAAACATTCCCCCCTCCAACAAGGATTAAAAAGAGCCTAAGAAATAACCCAACTTTTTAAACCTTCTTTCTGCCATTCAATCTGCCCTGAATCTTTTCAATATCCCACCCCGATCTTTTGAAATATTTGTCTTCCACTCGATTCCAAAGAGATTAAAAACCTAAAGCAATGCAACCCGCAAGAGGATTAACATTTTGAACAAGCCACAAAATAGTTGTGGAACTGCCGTAAACCAACAAAAAAGTAGCTAAAAAAAAAAACATCAAGGAAAAGACAAAAATATTTTAAATGGATTGGGAAGCTCACATGGGAAAGTCAACATTTAGCATTAGTATACGAGGAAACTATTGTATTGTTCATTGACATTGACAAATAACCAATAGAAAAGAAATCACCAATCTGCAGAATAAAGAGAAAAAGACATTTTCCCCTAAAACCCAATTCCCCTTCTCTCTCTCTCTCTCTCTCTCTCTTTTTTTTTTAGAAAAGTAAACTTACACGACTGGCGTTGCAAATTTTATCCATGAACAGACAGACTTCTGGGAATTATTATCTTTCATTTAAGTAAAATTCTCGGGCTGGTCGCTGAGACATGCTCCTTCCTCGCCGTCACAACTGGGAGTGTGCAGTATCTTCCCTTCTTCCTTCCTTCCCTCCTTCCTCCCCCTCCCAAGTGGGGACCCACCCAGGTTCAATGTAGACTTCGTCACCGTGCTACAACATGGAGAAGCAGCCTAAATTCTGGGCTCTAAATTCTTGGGTGACAACCTCTGCATAGCAATGAGCCGTCGACCCAGATAAGCATATTGGTAGATTATCGGTACGAGATTTTTCGGCCAGAATTTTTTGTTGCTGGTTTCTATGTTTTTGTTTTGTTTTGAAGTTCAATTCCTCCTTTAGGCAAGTTGAATCTTTAAAGCTCTGGATTCAAACAGTCCTGTAAAAGCTTGTTTGCCATTCGCTGCTTTCTTAGCATGTAGCTGCACGTCCGCAGAATGGTTACAATCGCACGGAAAGTCGGATCTGTGCCTTGCTCCAATCGACTTGCTCGTTCTTCGCTCCTTTTGAGTGTAAGTTTACAAGGCCTTCTCTCCTGGAAGAACAGGATTTCCACCGCCCCCCCCCCCAAAAGGGTACCACACCCTCTTGTTTGAAACCAGGAGGCTCCGAAAAGGTTGAACAGAAATTTATGTAGAAAAAGAAAACAATTAAAGTGCCCAGCCAAGTCCTGGACTTGCAATGCCCTCCTTTAGCGACCATTCAAAGTTATGACATCACTGAGAAAAGGGACTTACGGCCACCTGTCACACGACCGTCGTAGGATCCCCCCGCGGCCATGTGATCAAAATGCAGGCACTTGGTGATGGCCTCCTACTTATGATGGTTGCAGCCAATGGTGGGTTTCCAAATTGTATCCTACTGGTTCTATGTGCGGTTCTATGCACAGTACAAGTTCTATGCACACGGTTCTAACGTGTTTTGTGCACGCGCAGAGGGTTCAGACTGACCTCTGTCAAGGCTGGTAAACTGAGCTGTTTTTTAGCTCAGCTGAGGCGTGGCAATCCACTCTGCCATGTGAATTAGCTGAGCTAAAAAACAAGGGAATATAGGAGAGGTAAAGCCTGGTGAGCGGGGCCAACCAGAGGTGGTATTTGCCGGTTCTCTGAACTAGGCAAATTTTTTGCTACCAGTACACCAGAACCGGTCCAAACCGTTTGAGTACCACCTCTGCAACATCCCAGGGTCATGCGATCCCTTTTTTGGTCACCTTCTGACAAGCAAAATCGATGGGATTTGACTTTACATCCGTTTGCCGAACTTACCCAACGGTGGTGATCCAGTTAACGACGGCGGTGAGAAAGATGGTAAAATGGGGCCAAGAAAAGTCACTTAGCAAACTTTGCTTCTAACCTTCATGGGGGCTCACAAGGACTCATCCACGGACGGAAGCAAACCAAGATTGATCAGAACTTGGTTCCGGATTTTTTTTCAGGTTACGCTCTGAAGTCAGATTATTTCGGGGGCTTTAGGAAATCTGCAATAAAAATACCTCCCATGGTGCAGTTAATATTCCACTGCATTGTTTCCTCGGAATCCAGCAATAAGAAGCCAAAAAAAAAAATATGACTGCTGTTATTAGATTGATCCAGATGCTGAAAAATAAGAAGGAGCAGATGGAAACCTCTGGGACCCTTCTTGGCTCGATCCCAGGATCATCTGGATGTGACCAGATCCACTGCAAAGCTTCAAAGACAGAAACCATCTGCTCTTAACTACAGAACCGAATAACAGAGTTGGAAGGGACCTTGGAGGTCTTCTAGTCCCACCCTCTGCTCAGGCAGGAAAGGGTATAGCATTTCAGACAAATGTCAGACAAGTGACTATCCGATGTCTTCTTAAAAACTTCCAGTGTTGGAGCATTGACAACTTCTGGAGGCAAGTTGTTCCACTGATTAATTGTTCTAACTGTCAGGAAATTTCTCCCTGGTTCCAGGTTGCTTCTCTCCTTGATTAGTTTCTACCCATTGCTTCTTGTCCTGCCTTCAGGCGCTTTGGAGAATAGCTTGACTCCCTGTTCTTTGGGGCAGCCCTTCAAATATTAGAAGACTGCTATCATGTCACCTCCTAGTCCTTCTCTTCATTAGACCAGACATACACAATTCTCACAACCTTCATTGCATGTTTTAGCCTCCAGTCCTTAATCATCTTTGTTGCTCTTCTCTGCATTCTTTCTAGAGTCTTGAAAGGATTAGAGCATATACAGAGTGCACCTGGCTTGACTTTTGATTCCCTTGCTGGGCTTAGCTGAGCACCACGGTAACTTGTGCTGAGCTGGGAGCTGAGCCAACTGCAGAGATAAAAACTTCTAGGCGAACTGCCAACCTTAGCCGAGCAAAGCAACTACTTGAGAAACGCAAAATGCATCTATCTGCTCGCAGTAACTAACTTAAAATGTGTTCTTCCCAGTAACTTAAAATGTGAGAAACGAAGCTTTGGGCTAAAATGTATTTCTTTCCAATCCATCTAAGTAAAGGTTCCTTTGTTTGCAGAAGCGCCAAGAAAATTTCACAAGCTTTGCATATGATATGAAATAATGTTTTCGTAGCAATGATGGTTTTTGCAAGCTGGGTAATCAATGAACATTCAAGAAAAAGTTTTTTTGTGCGCACGCACCTGCTTTTCTCTCTCTGCCTTGCTGTTTAAGGTGGGAGACTAAAAGGTCGCCCAGTTTTTGCTTCTTGATCAGAGAAATAAAAGCTGATTATCGGTAGCCTCATGTTCAGAGTTTCATTGGACTTATTAGATTCTTAACAGATAATTAGAGTTGGAAGGGACCTTGTAGGTCATCTAGTCCAACCCCCCACCCAAGCGGGAGACCCTACACCATTTCTGACAAATGGCAGTCCAATCTCTTCTTGAAAGTCTCTAGTGATGGTGCTCCCACAACTTCCGAGGGCAAGCTGTTCCATTGGTTGATTATTCTCACTGTCAGAAAGTTTCTCCTTATTTCCAGGTTAAATCTCTCCTTGTTCAGTTTCCATCCATTATTCCTTGTCTAGCCTACAGGCGCTTTAGAAAATAGCTTGACCCCTTCCTCCCTGTGGCAGCCCCTCAAATATTGGAAGACTGCTATCATGTCTCCCCTGGTCCTTCTCTTTACTAGACTAGCCAAGCCCAGTTCCTGCAACCGTTCGTTGTATGTTTTAGCCTCCAGTCCCCTAATCATCCTGGTTGCTCTTCTCTGTACTTTTTCTAGAGCCTCAACATCTTTTTTATAATGTGGTGAACAAAACTGGATGCAGTACTCTAGGTGTGGGCTTACTAAGGCTTCATAGAGTGCTATTAATACTTCTCTTGATTGTATCCCTCTGTTAATACAACTTAGGATTGCATTAGCTTTTTTGGCTGCTGCTGCACACTACTGACTCATATTTAGTTGGTTGTCCACTAAGACTCCAAGATCCCTCTCACAGTTACTGCTATTGAGCCTGGTTTCACCCAGTCTATATGTGTCCTTTTAGCTTTTCTTGCCTAAGTGTAGGACTTTACTTTTCTCTACATTGAATTTCATTTTGTTAGATACGGCCCAGTGTTCTAGTCTGTCAAGATCCATCTGGATCTTGAGCCTGTCTTCTTGGGTGTTAGCTATTCCTGCCAGCTTAGTATCATCTGCAAATTTGGTAAGTTCCCCTTCTATTCCCTCATCTAAGTCGTTAATGAAGATATTGAAGAGTACTGGGCCTAAGATGGAACCTTGTGGCACCCCACTGCTTACCTCCCTCCATGTAGGCTTAGACCCATTAAGGACTACTCGTTGAGTACGGTTTGCCAGCCAGTTGCGAGTCCATCTAGTGGTGGTGCTATCTATTCCACTTTTTTCTAGCTTACTAAGAAGTAGGTTGTGGTCTACCTTGTCAAATGCCTTGCTGAAATCTAAATATATTATGTCCACAGTATTTTGCTGGTCTACTACTTTAGTCACTGTGTTGAAGAATGAAATAAGATTGGTTTGCCATGATCTGTTCTTCACAAACCTGTACTGACTGCTAGTTATTACTTTACTTGTTTCTAGATGTTGGCAGATCTGTTTTTTTATTACCTTTTCCAGTATCTTCCCGGGTATTGATGTTAGGCTGATTGGTCTATAGTTTCTTGGGTCTGTTTTTTTCCCTTTTTTGAAGATGGAAAACCACATCAGCTCTTTTCCAGTCCTCTGGTAGTTCCCCGGTGCTGCTGAGCTGCACTCGAAAAACTTTGCAGTCTCAACATCTTTTTTACATCGTGGCGACCAAAACTGGATGCAGTATTCCAAGTGTGGCCTTCCCAAGGCATTATAAAGCAGTATTAACACTTCACGTGATCTTGATTCTATCCCTCTATTAATGCAGCCTAGGACTGTGTTGGCTTTTTTGGCTGCTTCCACACATAGCTGGCTCATATTTAAGTGATTGTCCACTAGGACTCCAAGATCCCTCTCACAATTACTACTATTGAACCAGGTTGAAGCCCAGAAATGTTAAAGTTGCCAAGGTTGGACACCCTTGGTCTAGAATAAGGGTCTTCAAACTTGGCCACTTTAAGACTTGTGGACTTCAACTCCCAGAAGTCCTGAGCTAACATGACTGGAGGAGGAATTCTGGGAGTTGAAGTCCACAAGTCTTAAAGCTGTCAAGTTCGAAGACCCCTGGTCTAGAAGGATAGGGGGCCAGCGTCTGGGTTAGAGCAGCTACCTCTGGTCCAGGGCCACAGGTGTGAGGTTGTGCATTGAAACAACTGATGCTAGGCTACCTGAGGAACTATCCTATGTGAAGGAAGTGGCCTCAAAGCTTTATTATGCCCTTGGGGATCACACAACCATCATCATCATCTTCTAACGACCTCCTAATCTCTTGCGGGGTGGAGTCTGGGCAACTGAATGGAGCCGAGTGATTATTGGCCGGATGCCCTTCTTGTTGGCAATGTGGAGTCATATTCAGCAAATATATTTCTCATCGTGCCCAGAGAGAGAAACATCTGCCTCTTCCTAGGATTGAACTCACAGCCTCCTGACTGTGAGGCGAGAGCTCCGCCTCTAGGCCACCACACCACTCAGTGATCACACAACCAGCCCCAAAGTCTAAATCGGCCACCATCTCCATAAGAAAACCTTTGCAGTTACGAATACTAAACGTTGCTAAGAAAAGCCGAATTAAAGACTCAAAAAATGAGGAACCGGGGAAGGGGAAAGTGACTTCGAGACAGAGTACCCCGAAGTATATTTATGATTAATTTTCCTGAGTCAACTTGAACTGTGTCATTGACCGTCTTCGTTCCAAATCATCAAAAGTCACAAGTTACCTCAAGATCCTCGAGCGAACGGGTAACGCTGAATCTCTTGGAGCGCCCAAACGATCTCCGAGCCGAAGAAGAGGGATGGAAGAGTTGCACCAATCCAAAAGCGGGTCCGAATTTTGTGCCCTAAATCAGCCAAAAACAGACATTGAATGTCGGTGTCAGCGTTCCAAGTAACGACCTCCAAATTAAAAGACTCCCGAGACTGTTATCTTCTCAAAGATCCATTTTATTAGAGTCTAGCCCGATACCCGTGCTTGGCTACAAAGCTATGTGGTTGAGCTTAGTTTTGGAGGCTTTAGTTTTTGCAACCTTTTAGAGGGTCGTTGAGGACACTTGGAGGTTTATCTGTGTCCTCAGAGTCATCTGAGTATTGCTCCTGGTTCCTGTAGCCTCGGATGACCTTGAGGACACAAATAAACCTCCAAGTGGCCTCAATGGCTCTCTGAAAAGGATGCAAATGACCAGCTGTCTGCAAGGAGTAGAAATCCTTCAATTCCCCACCATCCTGTCAGAGCTGAAGAAGCTTCCTGAATGAGAAGCGAAACATCTTCAAAGAAAAATCAGAAAGTTCAGTTGCCTCTTGAAAAAAAAGCACTCCGAGGACATAGACAAAGCTCCAAGTGGCCTCAACGACTCTCTAAAAGGATGCAAATGACCAGCTGTCTGCAAGGAGTATAAATCCTTCCATTCCCCACCATCCAGTCAGAGCCGAAGAAGCTTCTTGGATGAGGAGCAAAATGTCTTCAGAAGGAAAACAAACAAGAAAGTCCAATTGCCTTCACAAATGTCTCACTTAACGAGAAATTTTGGGCTCGACTGTGGTCGTACGTTGAGGACTACCAGGGATCGATGGATCACTTTTGGCTATTTATTTTGGAAGAATATTGGCTCTAGCACTTAGAGTGGTGAGGTGACCTAGAGGTGGAGCTCTCACAATCAGGAGGCTGTGAGTTCGATCCTAGGTAGAGGCAAATATTGCTCTCTCTGGGCAGAATGAGACTATATCTGCCAAACAAAAAACTCTGCATTGGTGACAGGAAGGGCATCCGGCCAGTAAAACACTCCGCTAGCTCCTTTCAGTTGCCCAGCACCTTGCAGTTACCCTGCAAGGGATTATGAGGTCATTAAAAGAGGAGGAGGGGGATTAGCTCTAGCACTTGGGAGACACTCGATAAAATAATCGTTTCATGCACTCACGTTCACCCCAAGAAATCTGTCATTCCAATTCATTAGGAGGAGCTGATATTTGATGAAATATAGTCCAGATGCACGAACAATGCTAACAAAACTGCATAACCCTACATCAAGTTATTTTTTGTTAGGTAATTATACTGCCCGATCTTTGTTTCCATTTGCAAGGTTTCAAGTTCTTTGTCGAGCAAAATTAGCGGCAGCTGGGATTTATTTAGTGTTGCATACACCAGCAATGTGAATTTTCTTAATTGCAGGGTTTCGTTCTATTTTTAAACAATAGAATCCAAAAAACATTCTTATTACGGGGTGCTGTGAATTTGAGGGGGAGGAAAACATTTTCTGAAAGGGTAAACGCTTTAAATAGCAGCCCTGGTTTCATTCCCTCCGACGTCCCCATGGAATGTTAACGCTCGCCATTGTGCCGCCTCCACGCTGCAACTCTGAGCAGGCAAAGGGGTGGATCCAGATTTAGGCCTGTACATTTGGTAGGGAACAAATTGTCCCAAAGGTGCTTTTTTTTCAGGAGGCAACTGGACTTCCTTGTTTTTTCTTTTGAAGGCATTTCGCTTCAAATCCAAGAAGCTTCTTCAGCTCTGACTTGGATGGAGGGGAAGGGAAGGATTTATATAGCTTGCAGACAGCTGGTCATTTGCATTGTTTTTGGAGAGCTGGTGAGGCCACTTGGAGGTTTATCTGTGTCCTCAGGGTCACCTGAGTGAGGCTCCTGGTTCCTGTAGTCTGCAATTTTTTTCTCTGGAAATCCATTCCTACTCCCACACCATTCAAAGGGTGTTCGTCCAAAATTGTACAGCTAAAAGTAGACAAAAGGAGTAGGAATGGATTTCCAGAGGAAAAAAAATACAGACTACAGGAGCCAGGAGTACTACTCAGGTGACCTACTCCAGCGATAACAATAGCCATTACACTTAGACTTATATACTGCTTCACGGTGCTTTAATGCCCTCTCTAAGCGGTTTACAAAGTCGGCCTCTGGCCCCCAACAATCTGGGTCCTCATTTTATGAACCTCAGATGGATGGAAGGCTGGTCAGAATCGAACTGCTGGCAATGGACAGAGTTAGAATGTAGTATTGGAAGGGAGGGAGGGAGGGAGGAAGATAGGTCAATAGCAGTAGCGCTTAAGATTTATATATTGATTCACCGTGCTTTACAGCCCTCTCTATGCAGTTTACTCCCCAACAATCTGGGTCCTCATTTTATGAACCTCAGAAGGATGGAAGGCTGAGTCAACCTTGAGCTGGTCAGAATCGAACTGCTGGCAATGGACAGAGTTAGAACGTAGTATTGGAAGGAAGGAAGAAAAGAAGGGAGGGAGGGAGGAAGGAAGGAAGAAAGCAGTAGCACTTAAGATTTATATACTGATTCACAGTGCTTTACAACCTGCATTAACACACACACAGAGATACCTCATCTTCTTTTAACGACTTCATAATCCCTTGCATGGTGGAATCTGGGCAACTGCATGAAGCTGAGTGTTTACTAGCCAGATGCCCTTCCTGTCACCAATGCAGAAGTTTTTTTTCAGCAGATCTGTCTGTCTGTCTGTCTCTATTTGTATCTATCTATCTATCTATCTATCTATCTATCTATCTATCTATCTATCTATCTATCTAT